CATCCTTACTATGGATGCAGTCGCACATACAGCATAGATACGTAAACGTGAAAAAAGGTATCTATCACCTCAGGCTCAACTTCTGTCTCACTTTGATATAAAGGCTTGGCTACCTTTCAAAATGGCGCTGGAAACTGCATAGTGGCGTATTACAATATATGAACACACATGTCGTATTTTGAAATTATAAGTAATTGAAAATATATGTATGAATAAGCAAACCCAGTGAACAAATTAGAAAGATAATAAAAAACTTTACTCTTTTACTGCCTCGTCTTCTCGGATAAGGACGTAAAGCCGGAGGTCCCGTCTGCTTTCACTCTAACCCTGTTTTAAGGTGGACGTAAAAGAACCACTGAGGACGTAAACAAATCTCTGGCAGTGACCACCCTCAGTGACTTACTTACTTGAACTAATTCACACTCATGATTGTGAGCCGCGTGGCTGCTGTGCGCCTTAAATAGCAGTCCGACAATTACTTCGTTGTGAAAGCGCATTGAAACAGTGTGATAATGCGCTATATAAGACCACATATTATTATTATTAGAAAATAGGACGCCATTAGATATATGAATTGATACTTACAATTCGCCATGCTCTTGTCGACATTCTCATCTGATTCGCAATAAGAATAATGTCATTAAACATCATTGTGAATGATTTTTAAAGATCCCGCCTGACCCCAAGAGAAGGGATAAAGGGCCTGGGAACGAGGTTGCAATTTGTTAAATTCATCCTAAGTTAAACTTGCCACATGAATTTCAGGGAAAGCAATTTTTAGACGTCATTTCCAAAAATTATTGTGTCTTCTCTAATAAAAAAAAACAAACAAAACAAACAAATTTGATCTACGACTGTAGTAAGTAATGTTTAAGGTCCGACAATGAGGACTCATGGACGGGATTTCAAGTCCGCACAAAGGGACTGAAACTAATTGCAAGGACTTGAAATCCCGTCCAGTCCGAACTGTAGGACTTTGAAGTTGTATGCGATAGATCGTATGAACACTTGAAATCCGGCTTGAGAAACTAACAGCGAAAGTGATCCGACTTACCTGTAAAAAATTGGCATTGCCTTCCAGCGAACCCCATTTTGCACATGCAACGGTAGTCCTGTTCATCGTTATCAAAAATGCATTGACCATTGTTACGGCAAGGATTTTCTTCGCAAGGATTCTATGAAAGTATTGTGTAGATTATCAATTGATTAATTGATTAATAGTTTTATTCTCATCTAACATATTTTGCATATGTTATTTTTGCAATTTTTTGGGGCTAATTTTTTCTTTTTTTGCTATTAAGTAAAACTACAAAAASTTTTTTATTCAAGGCGCCAAAGGTTTCAATTTGAGCTCTACGCAGCCTTTTAATTGCAAACTTGGGCGTAGCTTGTGCTAATTATTTCTACACTTGTATGACACCGGAAAAAACACCTTTCAGAAAAAACTCGAAGTTGCTACATTCCTTCCTACTGTATTTTTGAAGATATGCAGACAGTCTTAAAAATTTTGTCCAGCTAAAAATACATTTTCAAAGTTCCAATTGACACTTTTCTTGATATACATTCAGTTTCTGTGCGTGCAAAAGTCTTTATGCCCCACCATATAATTTAAAAATGCCTCTTAATTTCTCCACTAAAACACACCTGACATTCTAGACCATTTTACACGAGTGGAAACTGAATATTTTCAAATTGGAAAATTGGAAATGTCTAATTAGGTGGACAACCTTTTCAAGATCGCCTGATAGTGCACTCTAGAGTCACTTGTTTTGGAAATCTCCTCTGGGCTACAGGAAACAGCGTAATTATAGTATATTACCCTCTGTGCCCCAAAGTCGTAGAAAAAAAAGGTCCCTAAAAAGAGCTATAATGAAATACAATTTATCATATAATTAACTAGGAAATGCCTATATTTCTCCATTTTGTAAAATTGATATTTTCACTAGTGAAAATAACACATTCGAGGTAWCTCTATATAGTGGAAGTAAGAAAAAAGGTATTTTACGATATAATTTTCTTTCAGAWGYAATTACATGATAAACAGAATATTACATGTTCGCTTCGCTACGTTCACTCGTGAGARATCTTTTCAACAYTCGAAGATRAAATCCGTATCTCCGCGCGCCCATGCAATATCCTCTATTTCTTACTT